TTGGGGGAAAAAATGGGCTTTGTTATTTGTGGTTTCTCTGTTCATGGGTGTAGAAAGACTAGAGAAGGGAGAGGAGACTCCACGACTTTAACAAGGACAAACAAAACCATCCTCAGTGGCAGAGTTTCACAGCCTAGTCCTTGGGGGGGTCCCCAGACGATCTATACACATCTGTAGCAGGTATTCAGTGGTCTTGATTGTCTGGTTTGGGGGTCCCTAAGGACTACTCTGTGGCATATGAAAAGATGTTATTTCAGAGAGGACCAGGAACACCAAAACGACTGAGCGCAGGGGACCAAGACAGTCATAAACCTCAAACAACTGTCTGCTTATGGGGGGACATACAGCGAAAATGATTTCCTGAGAGGGCGGAAAATTGACACGAGTTGCCATTACCTGACAGTCCACTTCGGACGGACGCTGACTCCTACCAAGCCTCCGAATGGAGTTTTTCATTTTTTTAAATAGTTTTGAATAGAAGTTGTAGAATAACCCTATGCATTTTATTTACCAGATGCTGTTATCCAAAGCTCCATACATTTTTTAAGAAAACAGGGTCAACCAGTCCCTTTGAGCAAGGTCCCAATGATGACATCACTGTGCCGATCCTGGGATTTGATCCCAATGATGACATCACTGTGCCGATCCTGGGTTTTGAACCAGCGACCTTCTGGTCACAAGCTCAGCATAGGAAGCTGCTGATTAGCTCCTAAGATGAACACACCTGGCATGTCTGAATAACAAAGTACAAGTGAGGGGTTAAATCTTCCCCTTTCCTTACTATATAAGGGTTTCTATGGGTTACTTCCCACAGCTAAAGTGAGCTTCTGATAAAACCATCATCTCTATCTCACTTCTCCTCTGACAGGAGGGTGGGGGGGTTCTGTGGCAGCTTTAATGCCATTAAAATGTCATTGTCATGTCGAACAAAGGTGATGGACTGCCCACGTCACTCTTACGTGTCATTCAACCAAAAAAAAACCAAAACAAAACAAAAAAAAAAAAACGTTTTACTGTCCTAGTTCTGCATTGCTACCAAATCAGGAAATATAACGTTGATTCCCTTCTTTGATTTAATCATACATCTTCCTTAAATTAAGCAGCAGGCATTTAATTTCCCTTAGTCATTACAGATTACTTCCTATTAGTGCTTTTTTTTTGCCTCGTCAGCAAAGTCAAGTTAACGTGCTGTGTCGAAGCTGATGTGATCGGTTTGGCATACCCATTTAAGCTTATTAACCTTACAGTAGAAAGCTGAAAGCAGAATTTAAAAAATGATGGAAAATTAACAAGCCTGACCCTTCCCAACTGAAGATTCTATTGTCTCACTGACAGTCACATGACATCATCGTGAATCACATGAGCCAAGACTAGTAGCCTGGAGTGGAAAGAGAATGCAAGTCCATGAGACAATGAAATCTGCCAGGCAGGGCTAATTTAGCCTGGTGAATAACAGCCATCCATCTTACAGCCAGCAGTACAGGGTCACAGAGTGTATGGGCGCTTATTTCAGGAAGTATATTGGAGAGACGCCGATGCATCATGAGGGTCATGCACTAAGGGCAATATAGAAACACCAATACACTTAACAGCATGTCTTTGGACTGTGGGAGGACGCTGGAGGACCTGGATGAATCCCACAGTGTGGCGAGAAGACACAAACTGCATATGTACATAGTGGGGGTGAGATTCAAACCTACACCACTGGAAGTAGCAGGCAGCAGTGCTTTGCAGTACCAGTGGAAGCCCATGTGGGGTCTGAGGCAAGCTTCACTGCCAGTGCCCACCATCCCAGGCAAAGTGAGATTGGCTTGTTAAACTGGTGCCCCCTCAGATGATGGTACTTAATGGGGTGATCAGCACTGATGCTACCTGTGGCACTAGCATTGTTGCCCAGGAGCAGAACCAAATAGCTCAAATTACTTAGAAGTAATTCACTTCTGTGCAATTTTGTATATTAATGTCGTCGTAGGACACAGCGTGACCATGCCGGGGCTGTACTGAATAGCTCTCCTCCAAATGTAATTTCTTCCTCAGAGTGATGACAGAAGACACTCCTCTCCCTATAATTTCTACCTTCCTGGCATGAAGAGGCATCGAGCAGGAGGGTGACGTAAATGGAAACGGTGACTTTGGTGGTCAGCTCGGACATTCCGAGGATGGAAGCAGGAAATAAAGTAGTGCTTGGACACTGGAAAAAATTAAGAGTGAGATTGCCAGAAGTGTGTTTAGCAATGGGTGGCACTGTGGTTGTGGGGTCAGATCCCATCTCCGGCCCCGTGTCTGGAACTTTCACCCCGTGTTTGAGGGGTTTTCCTCCATATTCCAGTTTCCTCCCACAATCATGCGTCTTACACGAACTGAAGGGGATTTGTGTCCTTGTTTAGACATGAATATAGACCCCCTGCCTTGTACTCTGTGCTTCCTGGGATAGGATCTGTACTGTGACCTTGTACTGGATAAGGTAATATGGAAGATGGATGGATACATAGATGCAGGGTCACACAAAGACATGGTCAGGCCCCTGAAAAAGTCCAGTAAATGCTTCCCCATTATGGGCCACCCTGCAAATTTGAGAACCAGTTTACATATGAAGGGACTGTCCAATAGCTTGAGTGTCGTCATCACCTGACTTCCATACACATTGTTCATAAGCTGTCACTATATTAACAAAATCTTATGCCCCCCCTGGTCGTAACTGATGGATTTGCACGAACTAAACATTCAGACACAACCCCCCTCCCCAACTATGAATTTTACTGCTGCATTATCATCACCAGAAATGGTCTGACAGTATGAACATAGTCTAAAGCATCAATCTGTACAAAAGCTGGCATTGAAGAAGAGTACGTGGGCGTGTAATATTATGTAAGAGTTAATATTAGTTAGAGACATGGTTCTGCAAAGTGAAAGTAGCGTTAGCGATCTTTGAAAAACAATCAATCCCTAGGCTTTGAGCATGCAAGCAAACCCTAACAATTAGTGTAGTTCAGGTCAGCGCCCTCTGCTGACATTATGTAAACACAGACATTTTGCAATGTTACCAAAGCAGAATGAAATATCTATCGCTTCTCCATAACAGAGGATGTAACATCCATAACATCTCCTGCTGTTCGTATGACAAAAAATAAATGTTTCCATAGTGACCATTTTTGAATGTAGTCAAGTCTTTTGTTTAAAAATCACTTCAAGTACTTGTCTAAGAACCCGAACTTTAGAGGTATATCATTTCTCTAGCTGATTCTGAGATCTCTCAAAACGCTTGCTCATTTCCGTCATATCCCTTTAGACTCCATTTATGTTCTAGTATGTTACTGTTACTACACTAGTATGCGTTACAGTGACTGCCATAATTATATTTACAAAACATTTTACATTTTATTCTCTAATTTTCAGATTTGAGCACAAAAGTATCTACACCTCAGATTAAATATAAAATTATGTAATTTCCCTTAAACTCTAAATGTAGCATGCTTCTCACTCACCGCACAGCGGGTGAAGGGGACTCTTACTAAAACAAAGATCTCAGCCTTTCCAGGAGGGAGAAAAAACACAGCCACGTTATAAAGGGAACTAGAGTCAGCATACGAGTCTGACTAAGAATTGTATTCCAAATGATTGCATTGACACTGGAATGATGACGACAAGCTGCCCACTGGGTCAGTAGAGGCAGAGAGACCTTACCTGCCAGTACCTGTTGGCCATTTGGGTCTCACACGGACCCCAGTTCTAATCTGTTGTATGTGCTTTAACATGCTACTTTATACCATCCACTGCAAAACATCAACATCGCCATTTAGCCAAAAAACTCGTGCTAAAACCAAAATATTTTGAACTATTATTGTTCGCATGATATTAATAATTTGATTAAGGACATAACAGGACCAAAGTTGTTTAAAAAAAAATGTAAGGATTAAATAATAATAATAACAACAATAATACTATACTACTACCACTGCTACTAAAAATACTACAATAGTAATATCTAATAAAAGCCATATTTTCACTGTTAAATGCCTCACTCTACATACTAGGCAACAGTTGTATAGGCAATATTAGACTTATTTATAAATAAAGAGATGCAAGTGTGTAGTGTGTGCTGAGTACTTTGCATAAGTCACGGAAGTTTACTGCCAACCTCACTAAATTAGCAGAGCTGCGAAAAACAACCTAGAAGCTCGCTTTGCATAATGTCTCCAGTGATAAACCCACAACACAGTACGGACTTATAATTTTGTGTGATTTATAACAGGCTACGACGGCAATTTAGTATAATAATAAAGCCTGTCTAGTCGACAGAGCTGTATTTAGCCCTGGTGATTTAACTATATAGTGTTTTTATTTTACATAATGTTATCTCTGCGCTGTAACGAAGACCGTAAGGATTTATTTACACGGCAAAGATAACGTCAAGTTCAGCACATGAGGCAATCACACACCAGGTTTTATATTCGGTTATATATTTGGAACTATCTGGACGTCTAATTTGTCGTGTAAAGCCAATCACCCAGCCATCTGCGGGTATTTCACAACTCCGAAATTAAACCGTTTAGCAAATAGTACCCACATACAACCATACCAGCTTATGAACTCTAACGGGATTTAAAAAATAAAATAAAAATGGCAATTTGACGAAGTAACTGACCAGATAGAGGTCAAGTATTATCTTAAGAACCTGAAAGTGACAAGTTGGCTCTTCGATCGTCGGGTAAAACCACCATGCAAGCGACCTTTCCAAATGTTAGCCATAAGAACGATGACAGCTCTGCAACCCTTCCTTACTATCCTAAGTATTTATGATTTATTATTATGTAATTTCTTCAGCGACTGGCCAAACACGTGTTCCCCGATTTTGTTTTCATCAACACTAAAACGTGATGGCTGGATAGATCACAGGGCTGCATGAAAGACACGGAAGATCAGAAGCGCCAAATTCGCCACAACATCAGAATAATCCAGCACCACATTTTATAGACGTGCAGAACCGTCATGCTGTTTACCTTTCTCCTGATTGCAAGCGATCTCTTCATCCTTTGGGTTGGCGACCTGAGTAATTATGGACGTGCTGTCCATGGAAACGGACGGATTGTTTTTCTTTCCCTCCCTCTCTCACTCACTCACTCACTCACTCACCCTCTTTCACCCCGTTATTTCTCAATGTATGTTTCGCTGGCTGCACCGAGACAGCAGACGGTGAGCGTCGATACTCCTTCAGCCACTACAACAACATTACTGGAGCCGCACCGGGCATTCAGCGCACCGCCGCCGTCTATTATAATATCCGCGTCCTCTGGGCGCGCACACATCGGAATAGGACCACAATAAACCCAAGTAAACAGGAGAAGTGAGCTGCGGAGACTGACGATACAGAGCCAGCCGGTCTTCCTTCAGACTCCAGCGGGGAGGGGGAGGCGCAGCCCCCGCCTCCAGCTCGTCCGGTCGGCGTCCCTGTCAAGGCGTGCAGGTCCCGCACCATCACGGTCGCCCTGTGTGAACGGCGTATGGAGACTGCATTAAACACCACCACCTAAAAAATCCTCGCTGGGTGTGCGTTCACGAACACCTATGTATTTTTATTACTTTTTTTTTTTTTTTTTATCCAAACCATCATTGGACAACATCCGTGTGAATTCAGTAGCCTACAGAAACGCAATACACAAACGTATAAATACTGTATATTTCTTTAAAAAAATAATAAACGGCTATAAATAATTACCGTATGAAGAACCGTCGCCCGTCCTATCAGATGAATTGAAAGGAGTATTCGGTACGAGGGACAAACATCGACGGCGTGCCGATACTCTAATTATATTGTTGAACTATTAGGTTAATTAATTAGGCTCTATTCAATGTGAACCCGCACAAATTAAAAAGAATAAAAGCACTGAACTTCTGCAAAAACTCAATCTTTGCGAAGTAACAAGACGTGTTTAGTTTAAAATTAAATGCTAAAATTCCTTTAATCTAATTAAAGATAGAGACTGATACTTAACTGCGTTTTCACAAATATGATAACTGGGTGCTAAAATAGCCCAACCTGAGTTGGCTCCTTGACATCTGTGTGCTTGCAGGGTTGCCAACTCTCACGTTTTCAGACTCTCATACTCAAAACTTGAACTTCAAGGTTGTCAGACTTTGTGACTGTTTAAGGTTTACTCTTCTCTGAAACTTGGTTAATTGTGGCAACATATTTTCTGAAGTTCTCAGTACAAATATTATATTAAGACCTGTTTGTATAAGATAGCTGAAGGCTCAAAAGTAAATAAGTCATTCATTAAACATACTCGAGATGCATTTCATATTTTCTGCCAATAGAACATTTAGCTTGGTATCCAAGCTTGATACTGATGTTAGAATTTAGTGTCAGAGTTGGTTTTCTTTACATCTTTTGTACACCACGTAACCCAACTTTATAGGTAGATAGTCTCCTCTGATGCCCTGTCTCATACTTTGTCAGTTGTGAAATGCAAAAAAGATGGATTCACTGAATTCCCCAAGTCTGATGAATGACTTTATGCCCAAATGAAGTCAAATGTAGTTGTACCACCAGGTCATGTGGAGAAGTCTACGTAACAGACCCTGAATACTCTGTTCTAGCTCCATGCTTATTTGTAAGGGCTGGAGGATATCATTCCTATAACAAATTAGACCTGGATAGACGTACACTTACGTATTATTTTGTGGCTTTCCACACTTCCTCCTTTGAGAGTTTTGGTCCTGGTAGACAGAATAATGATACTTTGTTCATCCCCATGAGGAAATTCTCTTTTTGCCTACTGCATCATTTCCTCCATGAGACACACAGACATATATACAGGTGAGAGCAAACTTGGGATGGAGGGTCACAGCCGATGTACAGCTCCCCTGGAACTAGGGGTTAAGGGCCTTGCTCAAGGGCCCAAAGGACGTGTGACTATTCTGTTGAGGCCGGGGTTCGAAATGGTGCTCTTCCAAACACAGACACAGAGACTTAGCCCACTAAGCCACACAATACTCAGATGCTCGTGACTTTGAAGAAGACTTCCTCCAAGAAGTAAAATATCTGTTCCTCAGAAAAAGACATTGTATTGTTGCAACCTCATATAACGACTTAAGAACAAACAGAACTTAGCTGTCGGGTGCGGAAATGAGATGTTACCATGAACATCTCCTGACACTCTGTGGCTCTACCCCCCAGCAGGCCAGTGGGCTGGAATATTCCAGGACGCCATGCACCATGGATCCACTGGGCTCCTTTTGGAGAAGAAATTATGAGAGTTCAGCCAATAACAGTAAATTTGAGTCTAGATAACATTTGATTGTCACTCTGTGTCCTTGAGTTACTTGCCATTTTCTGGAGGTATATGCTTTTGCCCAAAATCCAAAACAGGAACAATTCCAATGCAACATGCAAAAAATTAACACAGTACATCTAAAAAATACTGAAGCATGGAGCCACATCACCAAAAACCTCACAGGCGCCTACGAATGAACAAGGGACGAGCTGAGAAAATTGAATCACCTCCTCTACCCCTGTCAGTTCCATCTCCATGGAGCACCTTCTCTCCAGATCTCTAATGAAAGCTGTTCAAAGGCCTGGTGAAATATATGGATAACCTCTGTCACAACAAAGAATAGAAGAACTAATTAAAATTAAGACAAGGAACCAACACACTGCAGTACCATTTATTCCTTATAGATAATAATAGTTACCCTGCTGCTGACCTGGGATAGTCTTCCAAGAATTATTTTACCAGCTTGGATAAGATCCATCTGATAAAATCCCTGGCTGATGAGCATCTCTGGAATGAAAGGAGTATTTATCAATTTGTCACTGAATTACAGGAATTTAATCTCATAAGACAAATCGCCAAGATGATCGCCCTCACTGTAAAAGCCTGTAACACACCAAAAACTGAAACCCTTATGTTAACAGAAATTGTCATGTTAAAGTACTCACTGCGACAGCCAGGTGAACAGCTGTTAGTATGAAGGGAACGTCATTATCCCCTTTGGTTAGGAAATAAGGGCTGCAAAACATTGCAATCTGGGGAAATAAATTTTTAAATAAATTTTTAGCTTTTGCAATTTTGTGATTGCTCAGTTGGTCCTCAACACAGAAGCCTTTTGAAGGAAAAATGATAAGGTGACAATGGTACTCACCCTAAGATGGACACCTCCTCCTCATCAGCACCTTGCAACACAGGACTCAGTCATCAGGCAGAAGACCCGGACCCTCACCGTGGAACTCACAGGGCTGACTGCAGCTCACTTATGTCGTTACTGTAGCCTCCTGAACATTCATAGCCGACTAAGCCACTCAGAGTGTTTGCTGTTTGCCGGCCCATTGCTGGATGAGCCGGACAGCGTTAGCATTTTACCTGACGGTCGTCCTGGTGATGCTCTGTCTGCTGGGTTTCACTCTTACTCTCTACTCAGTAATTAGTCGATTGTGATCCATCCAGCCCCTGGGCCAGTCGTGGAGGAGGCAGGGGGGTCATCTGCCTCCAGGCCCATTACAACAGGGTGCCCACAGCGAAATATATCACCCCCCACCCCCAGTGGCAAATTTTACCGGGTACCCCTTTTGGTAACAGTTGATCATACAGAATTTGCAGAGAATCCCCTCCCCCCTGGGTTGGCAAATTTTGCCGCCCTCCCCGCGGTTGGCCAGCCCTATTGTAAGACCCCTCTTCTGCCCCTGACCTGTGCCATGGCAAAATGCCCAACTTCACTAGTCTGTTCAAAAAGTCACATTTGATAAGGCAATTGAAGGAGATTCTGCCATTTACCAAAATCGTAAAACTTACACTTTGAGCTGTTTGAAATGACTGCAGAGGAGCAAACAGCATAATGCAACAGAGCAGAAGTGACCATTTACCAGACGATTGTTGAATGCAGTGAGCTTGGTGACATTCTGAGTGCTGTAGGACATGTACTGCACCATCTTCCCATCTACAAGCTGCAGACACAGAAGAGAGTGTTTCCACTGAATTTCACAAGCCCAATAAATGCCTGCAAACGGACAAAGAGTGACGCTATATTTCTGCTGTCAAACTGGTATAAACTCCACATAACTGAGCAATCTGAGTGGCACCAAACCCTTACCTTGGTGCCTGTGACTTCCTGTAGTATTGTTGCATGTAAGGGAAAGCCCTTCAGAACAAAGAATGAGTGAAGTCCCCAGTCTGTTTCAGTGATAATACAGGTCCTACCTTTGTAATCAGGTGCCTGGTATATGTGATTTTTGCCCTGAGCCACTGATAGTCAGCTCTGAATCATATTAAGCAGCCTTAAGGATTCTAACCCTAAAAAACATTCAATAATAAGTATCCTTTTACTGCGGCCGACCCCTCAATGTACACAGATGAGGACGGTAACATTGTTTCATCCACGAGTTTCCACATACTTGCTTATTCACAACAGGGTCACAATAAACTTATTTCCAGAAGAACATGACACTGGATAGCTATGGGTGCTAATGTCCAAGCTGAAGTCCCTGAGGTTTCAGTATCACCCCCTGAGCTACTCGGATGTTACACATATGTTTTTAGTTTAATACTTTTAATGATGTGAAGTTTTTCCATTACGGTGCAAGTTCAATGGCCACTTCACACTTAGCATGTTTCCATTTTCTCTAGGGGGAGCTTCATGACACCTAGGTCAGGTAATAAACCTGCTGCCTAATATATTGAGAAATCAGAAACTTTTATAGTGTGTATATGAATATATCTGAAACTAGGAAAAAAAATTAAGAAATACTATACTATGTTGACTAGAAAAATTGTGTTGAAATCCGTAACCTTCACCAGTGGTTCCCTTGCAAGATATGGCAGGAAATGTGGATTAGGACAAATGATGCACCAGGGAACAAGGCAGACATCACGGCTCATCCACAAGATTAAAGCACATTCTGACAGAGCTCTGTTGCAATGACGTAATACAGGAGGAGCAGCTAAATGTATAAAACTTCATAATGAAGTGAAAAATTTGTTTCTGGGAAAATTGACCAAAACAAAGCCAATCATTCACCTATCCAGACAGTCGTCTCACAAATCCATCCAGCCGTCACCGAACTGCTTATCCTGGTCAAGGTCGTCGGGATAAATGTACCAAATAATATTAATTCATATGGTATGTTTCAGGCATATATAACAGTTTCATCAAGAATTGTATACTAACTTAACTGGACAGCTTCCCCTGAACAGCTCTGTAAATTAACATTTGTCAATGTAATTTGACCTTACATTTACACATCTGAGGGTCTCGCAGATAAATAGCTATTACCTTACAACCTCTGATTAATAGTAGCAGGGCCTTAGTGAAAAGCACCTCTTTTGTCTGAAAATAACATTTGAGGTCTCTGTCAATGCACCATCTGTGCGTCAGAAGTCATGGTGGGCGTCACTTTGATACTTTAGTTGAAGGAGATGCTGTATCGTAGCTGCAGAGGTCACATTTTATGGAGGCCTGTAATTGTTCAAGTGTCTTCAGCTCTGCACACCATATTTTCCGCAGGCTTGTTTTTCGTGTAATCTGATGATTAATCATCCACAATATCCCAGGAAGGGCAGCATAGTCTGCCGCACAACTCCAGGCCTGATCCTGGGCCTGGCTGTCTGTGTGTGGATGTTCTCCCCATGTTTGTGTGAGTTTCCCGGTGTTGGCACTATGGGGGGGTAGGGGGCATGGGGGGTGGCTAGCCCAGTTAAATGACCACCTGGTCCCCCTCCCCCCCACAAAAAAATGTAAAAAAAAAATTAAAAATCACCCAAAGGTGCTCAAAAAGGTTAGGCTAAGGGTTGTGGCTACAACAGCCCACAGA